TTGAAGAAAAACAAAAAAAAAGGAAAAAAAAAAGGGGGGGGGGGGATGAGGGAAGGGGAAAACCGAACTTTCCACCACCTTGCTGTGCACACATTGTGGGCGAGCTTGCGACGCACCACTGCCATCGCACAACGCATGGCCATAATGAGAGGTATTACCAAGGTCCTTGTTCAGGTGGTATTTCAGTTCCTGCTGGAGAGGTAAAGAAAGCCTGAGGGCTGTCATGGCTGACTACCTCCTGGGAATACGAATATTACTGGTCACTACAGACATCACAGACTGGAGTCTTACCGATCGCTCTCTCAATCTTCCCCATGACTTGGTTGCTTGGAATTGCTTTGCCGCACTCATAATCTGCAATTACTTGTGGCTTCTCATTAATTCTCTGAAAATCAAAATACAAACAGGATGGATAAGTCAGTGGAGTCCCCCCACAGTAAATAGCGCTTTCTGCCTTTATTAGTGTATTCAGTATGTCAACTGCGCAAATCCAGATCTATAATAACACAATGTTCATCACATCCTATTCTCCAAAGCATATAAAGCTCACCACACACATTATATTCTCTGCCATACCTTTGGGGGAACCACCATTCCCCCTGCCACAGCCAGTGTATGGTCCATACACAGACACCAAACTGCAGCCATGCAAATGGCGAGTACTCATTGGTCAGCAGTCACTGGACAAATGAGAAACGCTTCTTAGCAGGAAACTCTTCATGGTCATGTGACTGTGCTGACCAATGAGTGTTCGCCATTTGCAAGTGTTACTGAAAATGCTCAGTGCAGGGCTGCAGTTGGGTGTACAGACCATACACTGGCTGCGGCAGGGAGCAATGGCAGTTCCTCTAAAAGGAATGACCCAGCAGGGGTGGGGAGACATTTGGTGAGAAACTGGAATTACCTTTAAGTTGACTGTACGGTCAGATTGTAATGTGTATGGTGAACCTGACTAACACACACTATGGAGACAGCAAATAGACCCATTACATTTTTGGACTGTGAGAAGAAAGTAGAGCACTAGGGAGGAATCCACACGAGTGGCAAAAACTCCATGACCTGGATTCCCTGTATGGGCCTCAGTGTAAACTGCAAAAATCACTTGCCTATAATCCACCGCAACCAAGAAAGAGGGATCTGGTTCTCAATGACGACATGTGAATGGCTCCATTGAGTTTTAACCACTGCAATCTGCGGTCATTTAGGAGACTCTGCCACTGCCTGTACCCCACCATCAGTACCTACGTCACCCTCCCCTGGCACTCTGTGTGCAGGAGTCATGGGTCTGGGACAGAGTTTACACTAATAAGAGACTGAATACTCAGACTTCACCACTCTATTGTGGGTTTGTGGACGTTATATCCTAACCTCTGCTTAAACAAAGTGTCATTTGGCAGAAATACGGAGAGTGAAGAAAAACGTTATCTCAGCCTTGCTATAGAAAGTCTCACAGTCAACATTACAGCAAGTTATATTCAAGCAAAATGGTTTTTGTATTATTGATCAGGACATTTTTTTGGGCCCTACAAACCCCTACAAAGGGGACTCGGCTGCCCAGAAAAAAAAAAAAAAAAAGAAGAAGAGGCTCTGGATGCTTACAGTGGCCAGGTCCTTCTGAGTTAGGCCTTTAGACTGTCTGCCTTGTTGGATGACTTTGCCCACTTCTAGTGGCACTCGGTCGTGGTGCAGTTCCTCGGTTTCTCTGTCCAGCTTGGCTGTGTTCTTGGTTATTGTGTGCTGCTTATTCTGTCCCGCTGACCCTGGAGACGGATACCAAGAACACATGTTTATTAAGTACATTCATTTGGAAAGGACTGTATACTGTATTGTGCAGACGGGCTATTTATACTGCTCTACACTCATCTATTCTCATTACACACGGGTCATTACTCACCATCCGGTTTGCCGATTGGCCGGGAAGCCAGTTTCAATCAAGCCGGCCAATCAGAAAGCTGGGTCATTACCCGCCCCCCTGATCGCCCAGGAAGCCGGCTCCATACCAGCGAAAGCACCGGTATCGGTACCGGCAAGGACCAAAAGCAAAGTATCGGTACTCGATACCGAAAAACCGGTAGCAGTGCATCCCTACTAATAACCATATCAATCTAAACATTTGTAAACTTACTTATTGAAGATGCCCATAGGATGAACTTCCTCAATGCACTGACACAATTTCAGCCCTGTGAATATGCACTTCCTTGAGTCACCACTCACAGAGGCTGCCTTCTGAGCTACAACTCGATGTCTGAACTTCACACAATGTAACTTCATTGCTTGCTGGAAGCAATGCATGATGGGCTATGTAGTCTTGAGAATTGGAGATTGCGTCACATCAAGCAGAAGGGAAAGAGAAGCAAAGAACACTGGGAATCCATGAAGTTGATGAAAGTGGTGGGCAGATGGAAGGCAGCACTCGCTACATAAAAGGGATTTTTCAAGTAAGCTTTGATTGTATTATAGAAAACTCCTCTAGTATGTATTCCTATTACAGTGCTGATGTTATAACAGGATAGTATATGCTGGGACTTTACTACTCCTTTCATGTAATTAAGTTGATCTCGGATTTCAAAGAGACTATGCACTTTATTGCTGAAAAAGCTAAATTGCATCTAACAAGTCATTGTTGTTCCCCATTGGCCAAGACATGTTTGTTTAGAAAAGGATCTAAAGTACTATGATGTATTTATCAGGACACAGCTTCCATACACGGCACTTATTTCTTGTCTGATCACGATTCAGAACTTACATTTTTTGGAAGTCTCCACCTCGTCCCCTTTTCTCTGAGCTGCAATAATTGCCTGAAAGACAAGGGTTGCAAATATAAGGTTCACAAGAAACATTTCTACTGTACTGAATAAATGAGAGTACATCAAAGCAGCTGGCAATAAAAGGAGTCGCCACAAACATGGATCAGCACAGAAGTCGCTTTACATGCAGCTTGCTATAACCTCTGCACTCCAATGATAACCAAGCAGATGGAATACAGAACTATATAGATTACCATGCCTGCTACAAATCTAACTAATGGACAGAAAACAGATCTCTGCGTTTATAGGAAGCCCAACAGATCACAAAGAGCCTACAAGTCACAGCAATTATTTCTCACATACCAAGGTCGCAATTTCACAGTCGCAGATTTTTTGCATTTTGAGTGAAAGGCCCGATCACTCAGGGGCCTCAGTTGCCTTCATATACAGTCACTATACAAGGATTCTTAAAAAAACATACCCAAAATCATTTTTGTTCTGAAAGAGTGGGTAAGGGTCAGAATGCATGTCAGGTTTGAATTCCAACTTGGGGGGGATGCACCTTCCACTGTCACCAAGACAGAAAGTGACTGGGAAAGTCAAATCTTCCAACAGGGAAAACCTGTTTTGGTGACAACTGCTTAAACGTGGAGAGTCAGTCTCACTTCCTAGTATGTCTCTGGAACAGGGAGTGAAGGGAAGTTTCCCCACTAGTAGTCAGGATTGACCAAAATGTTGGATGCACGGCCCCCCACTATGAGAACTCTGCTCATCTAACCACACATGAGCAGTCCTCTTACAGTTCTCATTCATGAGGAGCTAGGGACATTCATCCATAGAGAGGGGGAGCCCATGGGAGCCGCAATAAGAAAAGTATTTTTATTTGCAACGAAAGTTGTAACAAGGATAAAAAAAATAAAAGTAAGAATCAAACACTTTAATCAAGGTGCCTTTTAGTCCAAGACACTTGGTCAGAGGCAGTCCAATAACATTTGGATTATAAAGAGCTTCAGTTGGTTGGGCTTGATCATGGAGGTGGACGTATAGTTTGAGGCCAAATATGACACTACAGTGAACCTAGAAGACAAAGCTGCAAACCATTACAAAAGGTTTACAATGCCTATAGAAGAAACTTAAGCTGGGTATGAACTTCATTTTTTTTCCATTCAGCTTTTAAACATTGTTGATAGAGGAATCTCCTGCTGCAGCTACTGCATTTTGACAGTTGGCCCAGTGGGCTGTCAAAGAACCTGAACAGTGCCTGCGTCTGACAACTTTCCACACCACTGTTGAGATGTCAGATAGGAGCCGGCAGACGGGATCACCCACTGGGCAAACTTCAACTAGTTCATCAAGAAATCAGCCAAAACGTGCTCAGTGTATAGCCAGCTTTTGTTTGGTGTTAAACACACTCCAAAATGCAAATATTGCACTATAATGAATCCTTTCAGACTAAATAGAAAACAGTACCATTTACATTTCTACGCGTTATGACGACATGCTATGAAACCACAACAAAGATGAATGGAAACTCTCCAAGACTATAAACAGCCATCCAGGTAACTTGCAAAACAAATCTACATGCCTGCCCCTTATATGTGCAGCTCAGGCTGCCAACCTGCAGGCCAAACCTACCAGAGGAGCATACATCAGAATTGTTTTCCCCCCCCCCAGACATTTACTCCCTGGATTTATGAGGAACAAAGAAGCCGCACAATGACCACATGCAGGTCTCATACAATCAAGAAGACTGTCTGTTCTATATTCTGATAACTAGATTTCCTCTGTATAATACTAAAATACAGTGTCAGATCCGTGTATATAATGCATATCTGGTGTAAGTCCAATGCTGATATTGTCTGGCTACAGGATGAGGTCATAGCTGGCGGCCTAGTACACACATTTAAAAAGACTGAAAATAAATGACATCATGTTGGAATGGAGGTTTGACAGCGGGAGAAATCCAATTCTTGGCAGCGAGTACAAAATAGCAGCTGCCCATATACGCAGCATAAAAATTACCATGTGCTATATATACACACACACACACACACACACTTGTGCAAGGCAGTCATATACTGTGTTACCAACTTTTCTAGAGCTGGAAAGACCACCCGAGATATGACTTCTAAGAATGGACTTATCTTTAGGGCTGTAGCTAACGATTATTTTCAAAATCAATAAAAAAAAAAAAAATAAGGCTCCAGTGATTGACTACTAGTTTGTATTGAGATTCTAGTCAATGACTACTAGTTTGTATTGAGATTCTAGTCAATGACTACTAGTTTGTATTGAGATTCTAGTCAATGACTACTAGTTTGTATTGAGATTCTAGTCAATGACTACTAGTTTGTATTGAGATTCTAGTCAATGACTACTAGTTTGTATTGAGATTCTAGTCAATGACTACTAGTTTGTATTGAGATTCTAGTCAATGACTACTAGTTTGTATTGAGATTCTAGTCAATGACTACTAGTTTGTATTGAGATTCTAGTCAATGACTACTAGTTTGTATTGAGATTCTAGTCAATGACTACTAGTTTGTATTGAGATTCTAGTCAATGACTACTAGTTTGTATTGAGATTCTAGTCAATGACTACTACTAGTTTGTATTGAGATTCTAGTCAATGACTACTAGTTTGTATTGAGATTCTAGTCAATCACAACAGCAAGCTTGGAGCGGTGAAAAATAAAATAAAAAAATTGTGGTGTGCAATATAGTACATTATACAGTGGCACAATGCAGAATACCACCAGCCATATAGAGTACAACAAATCCCAGCAATATTACATTATACAGCGCAATGCAGAATACCACCAGCCATAGAGTACAACAAATCCCAGCAATATTACATTATACAGCGCAATGCAGAATACCACCAGCCATAGAGTACAACAAATCCCAGCAATATTACATTATACAACGCAATGCTATAGAGTACAAATCCCAGCAATACATTATACAGCGCAATGCAGAATACCACCAGCTATAGAAGACTACAAAACCCAGCAATACATTATACAGCGCAATGCAGGATACCACCAGCTATAGAGGACTACAAATCCCAGCAACAGTACATTATACAGCACAATGCAGAATACCACCAGCTAGAGGAGGAATACAACAAATCCCAGCAATAGTACATTATACAGCTCAATTCTTTGAGGACACGTGGGTGTAAGCCGTCTAGTCTAGGTGCTTTGTTCACCTTAATTTTGTCTGTTTCTGGACCATATGAATAGTCAGCCATTGTGGTTCAGTTATGGACTTGTTATAGCCTGTTCCTTGGTGTGCACAGAGCTGAAGAAAGTATTTCATAGGATTTGCCTTCTTTGTCCCCAGTTACCAACTCTGAGTTACCTTGTATGGGGCCGACATGCTGAGACCTGTTTTTTTTACTGTTAATATATTTAAATAATTTTTGGGGGTTAGTCTTGCACTCTTTTGCAACCCATCGCTCGTTTTGAATATTTGAGAGCTTTATTTCTTTTTTACATATTTATTATAGTCTTTGTAGCTTTCAAATGAGTGTTCCTTAATTTTTATATTTTTTAAACGCCCTTTTCCTATTGTTTATGGCTTTTTTAACATTGGATGTGAGCCCCATGGCTTTTACTTTTAGCCTTTTAAACGTATTGCTTACTGGAATATATTTTGCCATATGGTTGCCAACAAATGTTTAGAAACATTCCCATTTTTGTTGTTTCTATGTAAATATTCTATGTAAATATTCCCTCTCAGTCGAAGTCTTAAAGATCAGCCCTCAGCATGGGAAAATTTGCTCTCCTGAAGTTGTGTTTTTTATTTTTCCAGTATGTGAATGTCGTTTTCAACTTACCGGTAAGTTAAATTAAATCATATTATGGTCACTGCTACCCAGATGTTCTTTTCTATGAATATTTGTAATAAGCTCTGCATTGTTTGACCTTACCAGATCTACTATAATACCCATTTATTTTGTAAAATATATAAGATGAGATTTAGAGCTGCAGCTAACGATTATTTTCAAAATCGATTAGTTAGCCGATTATTAAGTTCGATTAATCGGAGAAAAAAATAAAATACATTTTAAAAAATGGCTCCAGTGATGGGACTTCTAGTTTGTATTGAGATTGCAGTCCATCACAGGAGCAAGCTTGGAGCAGTAGAAGTAAAAAAGATAAAAAAAAAAAGTGTGGTGTACAATATAGTGAAATGAAAAGTGTAAAATTATACAGCAATGAATGCAGAATACCACCAGCTATAGAGGAATACAATAAATCCCAGCAATAGTACATTATAGCTGGCGGTATTCTGCATTGCAATGTATAATGTACTATTGCTGGGTGTTGTAGTCCTCTATAGCTGGTGGTATTCGGCATTGCACCACTGTATAATGTATTATTGCTGGGATTTGTTGTACTCCTCTATAGCTGGTGATATTCTTTGATTTGTAGTCCTCTATACAGTGCAATGCAGAATACCACCGCCTATATAGGAGTACAACAAATCCCAGCAAAACATTATACATGCAGTGTACAATGTATTGCTGGGATTTGTATTCCTATGTATAATATACAGCACAATGTACCATCAGCTATAGAGGAATACATATCCCAGCAATACATTATAGAGCACCATGTGTGGGAAAGTGCAGGCTTACCTGAGCAGTCTTCCAGCAACTTGCTTCTGAGATCGGGCCTGTCTATCGGCGGCTGTCATCCCCCCACACCTGCTCCTCCTTACTACATCTCCCCGCGTCCCTGTGCCGATCGTGGATGTGGGCGGGCGGTGAGTGTGAGGCGGGAAGAAGGTGCGGCGTGTAGAGCGTGGATGCGGGCGGGCAGGTCTGGCAGCGGTGAGCGTGAGTTGGGGAGGAGGTGCGGCGCGCAGCATGTGTGGAGCCGTGAACAGGGCCAACTGATCGGAAGCCGATTAATCGATTATTGAAAAAGTTGACAACTTTTTCAATAATCGATTATAATCGATTATGTCGATTAGTTGTTGCAGCCCTAAGGAGATTACAAGTAAATAGATACCCAGCATTTCTGAATTAAAAATTAAGTGCG